TTTGATGCTTTGAAGAGTTTTGGCATTATATATCAAGTTCAAGAATCAGTTTTAAATATCATAAAATTGAGATGAGTGCCATAACAAGCGAACTACTATAGGTCATCACAGAAATAAGCATCAAATTCATTTAACCTCAACTGATAATCAAACAATATTTCATCTTAAACTGATATAAACAAGACAATGTACGGTGCTAGCTTCACTATCCAACGACAATCTGATGCACCATCTGCGACACTGGAATCTAGCAAATCTCCAAAACAACAAATGCGATGCTTTAAATGACATCACAAGTAAGAATCATCTCAAATTATCATCAAACTGTGATTAAGTAGCATTCTAAGCTCATGGCAATATGTCTTTCGATAACAAACGCATTAAATTTAGGTTATTCGATTTATGTCCATTCAAGTATTTCGAGGCCCTAATATTCATATCTACTGTATTTTTTACAATAATTTATTTAGAGACAACTAATTTTGAGCAAAATCCTCAACACCCACTAATTTTCATACACCAATCTTGCAATATTATAGAAAATTTGGATTCAGTTAGCTCACCTGAGACCGAGGAGAAGAAGACCCATCATTTGCAGCTGACATTTCCAGAGGCGCGATTCTAAATCCCTCGTTACTACGTGAAAAAACAAGTAAATAAAATGAAGCTAGTTTCTTTTTTTCCTCCAAAAAATACAAAAACATAACCACGGATCACATCGATCTGATTTGATAATAACGAAATCATAAAGAAATTAGATCGAATACCTGTTTTTAATTAGAGAGGGGCATCAGTTTTGGGAGTGAGAAGGAAACTAGGGCTCTTGCGATGGAATTTTTTTTTTTTTTATGGAAGTTTCTTTTTCCGTGGGAAGTAGAAGAGAGGAAGTCAATTGTGGGCTTTGGGCTTTAGCCCAAGACCCAGTGGGCCGTACGCTAGTAATCGTCTTTTTTAGTCTTGTTTCTTTTTCAGATTTTCATTTTTTTTTAAACTCTTCTCATTTTTCAACTTTGAAAATTAATACGAAATTATTTCTGAAGCATTTGCTCGCGTATTTTACGTTCACGAGGTCTGTTGGCGAGTTCGAATGTCGCACTCGGGTAGGAATCAGACTGATTTCGATCTTCTTTGCTATTAAATATTAATAAAGAGACTATTATTTTTAATAATACCTTCCATTATTAAGGAGAGGACTATTCTTTCATTTCAAAATCTAATACTTGCTCATCTACTGTGTGTTATCCTCAGCTTTTACATTTTACTCAACAGGTTATAACCGTTCATTAACAAATAAAAGGTGGCATAAAAATAGTAATTTCTCCATTTCTGTTTAGCAACATTGAGGGTCCAAACTATAACTTAGAGAATTGATAGAAGGCTAGGATGACCCACCAACTTTTGTAATAACCTACAACGTGAAAAGTAATTTACACCAAAATAGACAAGCAAATAGAATCAGTGTTATATTTTTTGTAGTATAAACACAACAAACAAATTTGATAAGCACACTCTGAAAGATTCAATAAGCGGAACTTTTTTTTTAAATCTTCAAGACACGCTAGGAAAATTCTAACAACCTTATTTCATTTGGATACCATGGTCTTTTTCATGTTGTGTTATTGTAAAAAAAACATAATGATGCCGTGTTTTCCCTCTAAAGTGTTTTGAAAACACAGTGTTGTGTGCTTTTGGTAAACACTTGTTCGACCTACTATATATTACTATTAAATATATTATAATAGTAAATATAATACAATATAATATTATATTCACTTTAGTGTTTTATATTACATTATAATTATTACATATTATTTTCAAAAAAAATATATTTAATTATTTCGTATATCAATTTGTTATTGCAATATATTATATAATTTTTTAAAATAGTATTATTTTATCATTAATATAATACTATATTATTATTAATAAAATATTATTATGTTATTACTAGTATATTATTAATAAATTAATATATTTTAAATATTTTAACATTATATAATATATTATAGTTTCTAATATGTTAGAGTTTATTAATAATTACTTTAATAGTATATTGATAATTTATTATATAAATAAATATTATTAATTAATAATATAATTATTACATTAGTTTTCAGCAATAGATTATTTAGTATAATAATTATTTGACATTAAATATGTATATTATTATAATAATAATATTAACTAATATATTATTTATTACTATGTAATATATTAATTTTATATTATAGTACAATTTACTATATAATTTATGCTATATAATTAATTATTATAATATATTATTCTACTGCCTTTTTTTTTTATTAAATATATCGTTACTATTAGTAATAACATTTAATAATTATTAATCTATTACAAATTGTTATTAAAAAGAATAATGAATACTATGTATTATAACTATAGTATAATATTATCAGATCATTATGTATATTCTTATTTGTTATATAACTTTTTATTATTTTTCTAATTGTATTTATATTTATTTATCTGTTTAATGATGTATATTAAATTTAATATAATTACTAATCATACGAAAAAAAAATTTTAAATTATCAACATATTGAATATTAGTATTTAATATGTTATTATACTATTATATAAGATATTTTAATTATTAATATATTTTATATTATTTAATAAATATTACAAATATATTAATTATATTTAATAAATATTAATTTATTAATAATATATTATATTATTTATTATGTAATATATTAATTTTATATTATAGTACATTTACTATATAATTTATGCTATATAATATATTATTATAATATATTATTCTATTGCTTTTTTGTTATTAAATATGTTACTATTATATAACATTTAATAATTATTAATTTATTACAAATTGTTTATTAAAAATTAATAATACTATAGTGATTATAATATAGTATAGTATATTATTATATCATTATTATATTCTTATTTGTTATCAATAACCTTTTTATTATTTTTTCTTAATTTATTTATATTTTATTATTGTTTATTATTATATTAATTTAACTATATAATTATATAATACATTATCAACGTATTGAATACTAGTATTTAATATGTTATTATAATATTATATAAGATATTTTAATTATTAATATATTTTATATTATTTAATAAATATTACTAATACATTAATTATATTTAAAATATTAATATATTAAATATTTTATATTATTTAATAAATATTACTAATATATTAATTATATTTAATAAATATTACTAATATTTTATTAAATATTAATTATATTTAATTCATTATCAAGCATACCAGCAATAATTATATATTAATTATATTTAATATATTATGCTAGATAATATATTAACACCTCCTAGAACTCAAAATCAAAACACTAAACTTAAACACATAAAATGTGTTATAAAATAAGTGTTGTTTTTTTAGTTTGAGGATGATTTAGCTCAAAACACATCATGGTTTCCAAACACATAATGTTTTGTTTTTGGCAAAAACAGCATGAAAACAAGGAAAACACCATGGTATCCGAACGAAACCAGAGAGAATGGAAAGCACATGATCTTGTCACAGATTCACTCAAAACCCAATCACAGGGTTATATAACAACCTGACAAATAACACACAATAACATCTCTCTGATAATACAATATATACAACTAAAAGTCAATAGAACAATGTTCTAACATGAATTACATTTTCATTCATTCGCATCTGTATCAGTAATAATACACTGTCGATGGAAGTCAACAAGGCAAATAGAGTCTTTCTATTTGGCTTGAGTGTGCAAGCCGATCTATGAGATAATTAAGAGCTCCTAGATTTTTCTCCTTTCAACGAACCAGAGGATGATACTTCGCCAATGGAGTCGGGAGAAGCTGCTGCTTGTACAGGAGCCTTTTTTAAAGTAGTTGGCATTCCAGAAATTTCCTGAGGAAATAAAACTCAATTCGTAAGTTGTTATAAATTGCAGAAAAAAAGAGTAGACGACTTAAATCAAATCCGGTTTGAAGAGAAATGGTGAACTATGTCCACGACAGAAACAAGAACAAAACGTATACTGACTCAACAATGTTATAAGACATGAAACCAACAGTAACTGAAGATGCTGTCTTTGAAAACAAAGACGAAACAACAAAATTCTGCATTGAATGTAGTGAAAACCATCACTCATACATTTCATCAGGTGCCTAAACACCTTCAATGATTGACTTACGAGAGATGCTGCTCGACATTGAATCTCCTAATGCAAGCCACAGCCCTTCCAGGGCTTATGTGAATGAATTCAATTAAATGACATCTAAATAGTTATGCGTGTGAATTAGTGTGGGCAAAAAGAATGTTTCACACGGTATTTTCTGCAGAGCTGATTGGCTAGAACCACGAGATAGCTGGTCATTTCTGTGCTAGCGACTCGGTCTTTTCTTATGTGGGGACAAAATTATAACCTATGTATTTGCTACATCCATAGTTTTAAACAAAGTAATTGATTTAAACATTGATTAAAAAGTTACATTGATGTACAATTTATGGTACCAGAGAACTATTAACAATATATTTACTAGTTATTGATTGCTACTCTACAGCTTCTGCTACCAGAATTCTTGCTAATTGTTACAGTTTTATGTTTAAAATCATCTTCTGAACTGTGAAAAGAGAAAATTCTATTTTAAAACTACAATCCAACTAATATCGTTGATGGAAAGTTTTTTACATTGTTATTCACATAAAACCATATGCATGAAATGTGCTAGAAAAAAAGTCAGAAGATGTAGAAAGGTTACACACACTGAACTTTTAACTGAAAGCGAAAACCAATCAAATCAGTCCACATAGGAGGAATTTTTTTAAGAAAGATAACTAAAACAATTCTTCGTTTCTAGTACTTTAAGAGTTAAGATAATCTGACCCCTTTGGATCCAACTACCATGATGCAGTTTACAGTTATGAAGTGCTAACCAAATTAAAAGGAAGGATTTAAACAATTCTTTTTTCTGGTATTTTAGTTTTAAATGATGTCATTTGGGGGCTGTTTTGTTCGTTTCCTTAATATAGAGAAATGCAATTCAATGTAAAGAAACACAAGTTTTGAGTTTTTTAAACTTTTCCAAGAAATAGATTGTTTTGCTTTGGTTCGCACATAAAAAATGGTGAGAAATCAATGTATTTATTTTTCTTGTGTTTGGTTCGCATAGAAAAAAAAGGAAAACTTTTGTAAACAAAGCAGAGAAGGAAAAAAATCTGACGTGGCAGAGTTTTCATCAATTTCACTTGGTTGGGGAAGGAAATCGGAGAGGGAAAAAAATCTTAGTTGGCGGCGATTTCAGCAGAGTTTTCCCTGTTCCATTCGAGCGAACCAAAGCGGCACAAAGAAATGGACGGAAACAAAAAAGCTGACGTGGAGAGCTAAAAATCTGACGTGGAGGGGTTTTCTTAGTTTTCCACCCCTTATAATAACGAACCAAACAGCCCCTTGGATTATATGCAAAGAGGCAGTTTACAGTAATAAGTCATAACAAGAAGGCATTGGAATATAAAGGTACAGCACTTTATTTTCTCGAACTGTGTGTACTTAATTCTAAGATCCCATGAATATAGAGAAGGCAACAAGAAGAGAACTTGAGTATGAGTGAATTGCTTGTATTAGGATTAACATTTGAGCAAGCAACAAACAGGAATTAATGCAATAGTTGGGAGTTGAGACATTATAGTATATAAAAGGCTACAGTTCCTTTTGGTCCTTCGTTCCTCCCTCCACCATATTCTAGAGGCCCAGACTATGTGACTGAATGAATTACGGGTCGAGGACTTCCTCCCCATTTTTTAAATCTGAGAATCCTTAAAAAAAGTCCACAATTTTCTGGGAGCGCCTATTGCCAGAAACAACCTCTTTATCGTTCCAAACAACAGTAACAATATCTGAAAGACTGAAATTAATTTATTAGAAGAAGCTCCACTACACTTTGGGGTGTGTAATGTTAACACAAAACTTGTTTCCCCAAATCCAAAAAACTAGTTGCCTGCCGAAAGATCATTTCTTCCACAAACTATCTTATTTTTATGTTCAGAAAAAAATAAAATATATGAAGAAGAACAAAATATGAGGTACCGGTGATGCCAAAAGAAATGTGGAAGGAGAAAACAGAGGCAGAGAAGTTCACCTTCATTAAGTGCAACCTTAAGTCACTTGGTCGAACTCCCTCTCCAATGCACACCATAACAAATTGTGAATACTGATACAGAACATCAGCAGCAGCTTGCTTTTGTTGTTCAGTCTGCAATTGAAATTTGGAAAGTTTAGAACGGGAATAAAGTCAAAACAGTGCATAAGCTGCTGAAGAAAGATCGGTCCACGCAAACTGAGTTGAAGACGACTGTCATTTTCAGAACTATTTAAAAGTAAAAAAGACATGTCAAACTTTATATTTGTGATATAAGTTTAGGAAAGTGAAACATGAAAGCCTTAGAAACATAATGATTGATGCTGATTATTTATACTAAGCAGAATCTATGGACTTCAAAAAGATTGTGTCCAGATCAACCACATAGATTCTTATTGACAAGTTTTCTGGTTAGACAGCTATGTTAACATTCAATTGTACTCTTTTGCCAATATTTCTCATTTTTAACGTATATAAAAAGAGGATTAAGATAGTTAAATATAACAGATAAAAAGATGTGTAGGAGTTCACTTGGCTGTATTATCTCTCTGTCACTTTAGTCCACGATAAATATCATAGTGCATCTTGCTGCAACATTACTCCACCATAAATCTCATACTGCATCCATTCCTGAGTTTCTATATAGTTTTTTAGCATTTGTATTTGGCATTCTAACTGCAAATTGTACACGGCAATTTTTCACTTTAACCAATGGTTCCCTGCTTTGAGGGATAGTTTCCACTACTGTTTCAATGTGCCAACAAATGTCAGCATGGGCATTCATGTTTTGCATATACAAACTACCTGCACTTAAGTTTGAAGTTTGGAGGTATAGATTTTAAAGGTATAGACTATAGATTTTAAACCTACTAAGTGATAAGAGTAATGAAGAGATTCGCCACGTTAAATTTAAATTTCTTTATAGGTTTGTTACTCCCAAGCTTCCGTATTACCTTAGGAGATTGTACCAACAGTCTCTTTACACAATACTTCTTGCACGTTAAGCTGCAGACATATACTTCTCGCGTCCCCGATTAGTTCTGATATCTAAAAATTTACCCTATGCCCTATGCTGCACTAGGAGTACGTGCATTACAGGAATCATGCACCAATATGTACAGGGTTAAAATTGCGCGTGCTCCATTCCAATAAAAAAAATCCTCCACAGTAGAAAATCTCACGCATATAATAAAGAACAAAGTGAGAAGACTCTAAGAAAGGCAAATATCAAGCTTCTCCAAAACCACAATCAAATACAAAAGGCCCATGTTAGAGTATGAAGCATCTTGGAAAAGCTAGGCGCCGGCCTTCTAAAAGAACTCCTCCCAATTAAAATTATGATGGATTTCATAGTTGGTTTGTTACTAAAGTTATAAATTTTCACAACATACAATGTAATTTACAATTTATTGTTTACGAAAAGCACCATCGATCCTACTCACGAGGGTCTAGCCGAGTTGGTAACCTGCCTATATAAGTAGTAGGCCAAGGTCTCAAGTTCGACCCGCTCCCCAGGAAATTAATTTCCTTGAAATACCCAAGGCCGTGTGTTGGGCGTTCGCCCCTTAGCCACGCCCGGGGGTTTGACACCCGCGGTCCAAAGGATCGTGGGGAAGTTCCCTCGTCGAAACAAGCAAGGAAAAAAAAAAGCACCATCAAGCCTAAGTGTGCTGCTCATCTAAGTAAAAGACTAAAAGGGGAAATATGCCTTCTATTTTCACTACCCTTCGCTGATTACCGAACAGAATTAAAAAAATAAAAAAATTATCCCCAAATACATCTCCAAAGCTATCCAAAAAGGGGAAAAAATGCAGAATATCAAAAACTTAGCTTATAAGAGACGAGACGAGATACAGGGATTCGAGTCAAAGTACCTCGTAATTATCTTGAGCAACTGGCATTATTGTTCGCACCATTTTCTCCGACAATTATTTATCCTGTTTCCAATTTACAACAAATCGCGTGGGCTTTATTTGAATCGTGACGAAATTATGAAGCTAAATTCGATAAAATTGATAGGAAAAAGATGGAAGGGTTCGCTAAGATCGAGACTCACCTGCTCCGAGTCCGGGGGCAATCGAAATAGGGATTTTGCAGAATTCAGAGGAGGGGGTGGGGCGACGAATGCCGCGATGGATTTTATTGGGCCTTACGGGTAAAACAAGTTTGGTGTTTAACCCGAACCCAAATCGGAACACAAAATCACAAACGACAGCCCAGTTCGGCCCAAGATTGTACTCCACAAATTTCGTTCTGGTTATGGGGCAATATCGTCGTATACGGACATTGAAATTTTTGAAAAAAAAGACCTTTTTTGCTAAATAATTAGCAAAATCGACCTATTTTTGACCAACAGGCTAAAAAAAAGTCGATTTTAAAAAACGCTCAGCTCAGAACACACGGAACTACTACTCACATATGTTTTTGGGTGAACTAATCACCAATTAGTATCACAAAAAAACATACTGGACTACTAGTCCCGTATGTTTTGGGCACTCATTTGTTCTGCCCAACAAACCCACGAGACTAGTAGTCGCGTGGGTTTGTTGGGCAGAACAAATTAGTCTCTGCTTAACGTACGGGACTAGTAGCCCCGTACGTTAGGCAAAGGCTTTCTTGCCTCTGCCCAGCAAACTCACGGGACTACTAATCCAGTGGGTTTGTTGGGCAGAGGCAAAAATGCACAAAAACATGCACATGCCTCTAACTTCATATACAGTATTATTTGACCAATATTTTCACAAAAAATATTATCAACATTGTATACATTGATTTTCACAACACACAATCTAAAAAATACACAATTCTACATTGATTTTCACAATATTTTCACAACACAAGTCTAGAAATACACAATATCACAATACAAATATACATGTCATATGCATACCAATATAGCAAAATTCTAAACAATTCCAAATGTATCGAGTCTACCCATAAGATAATATGTAGTCTAAGCTGAACAAATCCAAATGTATCAATAATTCCATACGACAATATATAATCTTAGTGGAAAAGCTAACAACTGTATGCTCTGAGCAAATGAGTGCCCAAAAACATACGGGATTACTAGTCTCGTATATTTTCTGTGAGCACTAATCGCTGATTAGTTCACACAAAACATACGGGACTAGTTGTCCCAAAACATACGGGACTAGTTGTCCCATATGTTCTGAGCTGGGCGTTTTTTAAAATCGACCTCTTTTGGCTTGTTGGCCAAAAAGAGGTCGATTTTGCTAAATAATTAGCAAAATGTCTATTTTGCTAAGTATTTAGCAAAAAAGGTCTTTTTTCAAAAAATTCCCCATTTTAAATTGTCCATATTATTGGCGCAATTTTAGTTTGTTAAAGAATTCAAAGATCATTGATGTTTTCCTCTTCTGTGCAATATTCCCATGATCAGTTATTTCTCATTTAATAAGTAACTAAAGTGGATGAATTTTTAACTGTACTCAGCTTTTTGCAGGCTTCGATATCTTTATTATTAATCAGCAGGTGAAGATGTTTTAGGCGACAACTTTGCTCCTGGGGTTTAGGCAAACTCCTCTTGTTAGACTGCATTTTTCATTTCCTTCATCCACTGCACAGATAATTGTTCTTGGCTTCTTAGAGATCACTTTAACTTGGTTCTATTGATGGTGTTGTTTTGTTCGGATCTGGTGAAAGTTGCAGCCTATCTTTTGGAACTGTTTTTGTAATTATCTTAGATTGGATTTTCATTCTGGCCAGCCCCTCTCCTCCTATTGGCCAATTCATGTTTTTTGTTTCTTCTCTCTTTTTATTTTTTTTTGCTTTTCTGTTATTTCTCATATGGACGGGTGGAAACTGGGCAGATTTTGCCTGGTTGGTGACGACAAGGTCCGCTCCCAACTGACAAAATCTTCTTTTGGTTCTGCACTTTCCGTATTTTGTATTTTTTGTAAATTCTCTTTCTGTTTTCGTTTAATATATACATGAATAGGGCTTCTAGCTCTATTTTTTACCTCAAAAAGGTTTACTATGGAGAGAACTATAGTATTTCTATTGTTGTTGATAGACCCTTTCTGTAGGCATCAAAAATTACCTATAGGTCTCCACGAACAGCTCAGTGCTAAGAAACGACGATGAACATCACTATCCGGTTCACAGAAGTTTGATTGACGTCGGTGAACGCTTGAAGTTAATCGACGAACTACGTAAACCAACAAAATTTCAGAGCAACAAAGACGCGAACTGACCGGGAACCTCATATCGTTCACAAACGGCGAAATACCATTCGTGTCTCATTTGTTCAACTGATGATCTAATCATCGGAGCTTATAGAACTCCTCATCGGCTTTCCAACGCACTTTGAATCGTTCAAATACGAGTTCGAATGAAGAAGTTACGGCGAAAACGAACAAACAGGCATAACGGAGCGTCTCAGACTGAACTGGGGCACCCGAGGTGTCTCAGATGGATATGTTTCCCTCTGGAGATACGACGCTTTATTGGCGTCTTCAAAAGTCGCTTGTTCAAGTTTACGCTTTTACGAGTGTGAAAACCTAACGGGCTCTTGAACTTCAACCCGCAATCCAATGCGGTCGGTAACAGGGGCTTTCCCTTTGTTATCTTTCTTAGGGGATTGGTACGACCCCCAGTCTGGTTTGTTGTTTGGGGACCTTTCAACGGTCCCAATCGCTCCTTGACAGGTGCTTTACCTCGATCTTCCGGTAAAGGACCGAGGCGACCTTTCAAAGTAACTCTAGATCTTGTGGGACCCACGTTCTGACCTGGCTCCGTCGGAGGTGCGGGGACAGGGGAAACGAGATCTGGATTTTTGGAGAATTGGCGAAGCCCTGTCGGATTGAAGATTGATCGAGTTCATCAACACAGGAGAGAAAGCTTCTTCAGATCTGCACCGCCCGCATCCGATCCTTAGAATTATCCCGTTGTGATAATTCTAAGAAGAGCAATTATCTCGCCGTTGCCGAGATAAGCGCTTATGCTTCTAGATTCCTTCGCGAATCGACGGAGTTCTGGATCTGATCTGATTGTCAGGTAGTCCACGGATATCGACGTCCCCGTCACCGGCAAAAGACCCACGCAAGCAAGAGACGACGAACGGATCTTGCGTTATTTTCGAAAAGTTGTAATCTTTCATTCTTTATTTTGAATACTTTGAATTCTTTGTAAGCAATCTATATTATAATGAATTCGACAATGAAGGCAACTTTTTCCGAAAACACTTTCTACTATCACCGACTATGGATAGCCTCTGACTATTTTTCTTAGCTTTTTTAAAATGTAGAGGTCTATTTGTCAACAAACCAATTTTCTCTTTTTGTGAGGCTAAGAGTTTTTTTTTTTTAATTCACTCAGGTTACATCTGTTAGAATAGAACTAGGGAGGATTCATGCTCAATTCAGGGATAGTAAGTGGGTCTATCTGCAATTTAGAAAATGAAAGTGCCAATCCAAGTTTTCAAATAGGAAACTGTATTGATATGAGGAAGGCGTCAACATTTCAGCAGGGGCTCTAGTTCTAGGAAAATTGAAAGGGCAGTTTGTATTATTCATGGTCTGGTATAAAATCCACATCATTCATCAATCCAAGTCACTCATTTTAATTTTCTAAAGATTCAATGAATTTGTCTATGCCCACCGAATGTCTCAATGAGCGATACATGACTGATTCATCTCCCTATTTTCTTTTGTTTTTTGTTTTTCCCCTTCTCTTTATGGAGTTAAAAATCAAAATAGATGTAAGGATTGAAAACGAGATTGGCTTCAGAACTTTTTAAAAAAAGTTATATTATTTTGTATGCTTTGATTCCAGAAACCTAGATAGCGTTGAAACTTTATGATTATGATCTCAGCGGACTTGTTCTCCGCCTTGTTAGGGCCTATTTGGTTCGTTTCCTTTATTTTTCAAAACTTATTTTTCTTTACTTTTTTATGTTTTCTTCACATTCATGGAAAGTATTTCTTGTGTTTGTTTTGCCAAAAAATATGAGCTGAAAAAATTTTCCACCACTTTTCTTAGTTTGGTTCAACTTGAAAAAAGAAGAAAACAATTGATGTGTGAATAGATTCCCTCATTTTTAGTGTTTGGTTCAAACTAAAAAAATCAAGAAAACTTGATTGTGATCACCATAGTGTGATTATCACCCATATAAGACAAAATATTAACAACAAAAATATAGGCAAACAAAATATAATGTAATGCACTCAATTGGTTGCAAATTCATAAGGGAACCATACATTGCTTGAAAATTCAGAAGGCAAGTACACAACTCGTCTAAAACCAAACCAACTTTGGCCAAACCAAGTCTGACAAATATCCAAAACTAAACCAAGGCTGAAACCAACTCGAGAGAAACCAAGACTCGAACAACCCAAGATTGAAATCAGACCAAAGTTTAACACAATTTATAGAAAATGTGCTCAGAAAAGACCATTTTCTTCATTATCTGCATCATCGTGAAGTTTATAATAGCAACGTTGCCTGCATTTATTGCCTCGCAAAATTGATTACTAATATAAACTTTGGTTGCATACATTATATATCAGGCCATCATCATATCAAAATATCACATTACCAATGACATAACAACCATTTCTACAATAAGGATGGCAACAATGACAGCAACACAATAAGCAACAATGACATAACACTATCAAATCGACTTTTGGCACTTCAAACCAAGGCCGAGAGGAAGGCTGAAACCATGCACAAAATTGAAACGAAGGCCAAGCAACAACTGAAACCAAAGGCCAGCCATAGCTGAAACCCATAGCTAAATTTGATTCCGAGAGCAAGGCTTAAACCATGCACACTATTAAAACAAATGTCAAGCAACAATTGAAACCAAAGGCCAACCATAGCTGACCAACCAAGGTCGAGAGTAAGTCTGAAACCAAACTGAACCCACTTACAAGGTTGGAAATTCAGAACTGAAACCAAAAGCCAAACAAGGACTGAAACCAAAGGCCAAACAAAGGACACAACTGAAACCAACTTCATAACCAACCCAGGAGCTGAAACCAAGGCCGAGAGCAAGGCTGAAACCATGCACACAAAGGCCAAGCACACAATAGCAACCAAAGGCCAAGCAACAATTGAAACCAAAGGACAAGCAACAATTGGCAAGCACACAACTGAAAACAGACCTTTGCTGGAAATTCAGAAGGCAAGCT